CGGGTATAAAGCCCGACTGGTCCGGGTGTATCAGAGAGGGAAGGTATGGGATGAGTCGTGTGGCGAGGACCTTAGCAAAAAGTTTAGTGTCAACGTTTAGGAGGGAGATAGGGCGATAGCTCTGGCATACTGTGGGGTCCTTGTCCGGCTTAGGTATCACTGTTATGTGGGCTGACAGGGCGTCCCTAGGGAGCAAAGGGAATTTGCTGACAGAGTTCCAGGCTGTGAGCATATGGCCATAAAGTAAAGCAGGGAATTTCTTGTAATACGAAAGGGTGAAGCCATCAGGGCCCGGGGCTTTGCCAGTGTTGGTTTGCTTGACGGCCGCCTCCAGCTCCTCCATGGAGATAGGGTCTTCCAGGGCGGACCATATCTCGGCGGGGAGAGAAGGCATCCCCACCTCTTCTAGGTAAGTACGAATGCGCCGTTGTCGCGCGGACACGGCTGAAGCGGTCTGAGGGGCCGGCAGGTTGTAAAGTGAGGCGTAGTAATCACGGAATGCGGCGGCAATATCTTCCGAAATATGGCAGCTATTTCCGGATTGAGTCTTAATTACTGGTACAAAGGTTCGGGCACGTTGCTGGCGTAAGGCTTGCGCAAGGGAGCGGCTGCACTGGTTCCCGTACTCGTAAAAATGCCTAAGGCATCTGGCAAGGGTGGCTTTGGCTTTTTCCAGTCCTAAAGTACATAGGGACTCCCTTGCGATCCGTAGTTGGGACAGAGTGGTCGGGTCACGGCGTCGCTTATGTAGGATCTCCAAGGTGTGGATCTGTGTCAGGAGCGCGTTCTGCTGTTCAAGTCTCTGTTTCTTACGCTTAGTGCCTAACTTAATTAAAGTCCCCCTAAGGTATGCCTTGTGGGCTTCCCAGATCGTGTACGGGGAGCAGTCCGGAATGGTATTTAGGTCAAAGTAGGTCCGAAGGTCCCGTTCAATTTCAGAGAGGAGGTCGGGGTCGTGTATGAGCGATTCGTTCAGCCGCCAATGCCATCCCCGGGCGTGTTGTGCTGTCAATGCGAGGGTCAGCAAGATCGGGGCATGGTCGGAGTACATTATATATTCCCAATTCCGGTACTATGCGCGGAGGCCAGGGATGTGTGCGGGATCAAGAAAAAACCAATGCGCGTGTTGGTATCATGTACAAGGGAGTGGAATGAGTAGTCCCGGGTGGTGGGGTGCTGTATCCGCCACACATCAGCCAGAGAGCTACTATTTATAATTATGGCAAAACAATGCAATTCAAATGGAAAACTGAGGCACAAAATGATAAAGTGCACACTTTAATTGTTTAAAAATGACATTTTGACAATGTTTGTTTTAAAATGATTTGCTATATACACACCGGACTCATTGACTTCATATCTGTCATGTCCCTGCCTAGTAAACTTACACATTTAGCATCACTGTCATTCATTCTTGTATGGTGACTATTTGATGGATGGTCCAACTTCCTATTTTCAGCAAAGGATTTTGAAACTTCCTCTCAGTACATAGAGTAGAGCCCGGATCTGAGAGATCAGCCCTGACCAGTGGCTCACCTGAGAGATCAGCCCTGACCAGCCGCTCACAGCACAGATTTATACCACAGATGGTTACTTTCACTTTCACTTCTGGAGAATCCTATCACCAGGAATAAATGTATTAAGAAAGAATAAACAGCTCTTATCAGATCCGGTCTCTTCTGGGGTTTTATAATGCAATGCTAAAAACTTCCCAGAACCCAACATTGTACCCTCAGTAATACTCACACCCCGATAGAGACATTCTTATATCATCAGTGTGTACATTCCCACCACCCAATATTGTTCTCTCAGCAGTATCCGCATCATTAAACACTCTGCACTGAACTATATCCTCTGGGAATACCCCCCACCTCCCACACTCCACACAATATGCTAAGCTCTCTCACAAATATAACTGTCCCCCACCGACCACACTACAATCTCTGACAGCTCTCCACCATTCACACTACATTCTCTGACAGCTCTCCTCCACCATCCATACTACATTCTCTGACAGCTCTCCTCCCACCATCCACACTACATTCTCTGACAGCTCTCCTCCACCTTCAACACTACATTCTCTGACAGCTCTCCTCCACCACCCACACTGCATTCTCTACCAGCTCTCCTCCACCATCCACACTACATTCTCTGACAGCTCTCCTCCATCATCCACACTACATTCTCTGACAGCTCTCCTCCACCACCCACACTGCATTCTCTACCAGCTCTCCTCCACCATCCACACTATATTCTCTGACAGCTCTCCTCCCCCATCCACACTACATTCTCTGACAGCTCTCCCCCCAACCATCCACACTAAATTCTCTGACAGCTCTCCTCCACCACCCACACTGCATTCTCTACCAGCTCTCCTCCACCATCCACACTACATTCTCTGACAGCTCTCCTCCACACTACATTCTCTGACAGCTCTCCTCCACACTACATTCTCTGACAGCTCTCCTCCACACTACATTCTCTGACAGCTCTCCTCCACACTACATTCTCTGACAGCTCTCCTCCACACTACATTCTCTGACAGCTCTCCTCCACACTACATTCTCTGACAGCTCTCCTCCACACTACATTCTCTGACAGCTCTCCTCCACACTACATTCTCTGACAGCTCTCCTCCACACTACATTCTCTGACAGCTCTCCTCCACACTACATTCTCTGACAGCTCTCCTCCACACTACATTCTCTGACAGCTCTCCTCCACACTACATTCTCTGACAGCTCTCCTCCACACTACATTCTCTGACAGCTCTCCTCCACACTACATTCTCTGACAGCTCTCCTCCACACTACATTCTCTGACAGCTCTCCTCCACACTACATTCTCTGACAGCTCTCCTCCACACTACATTCTCTGACAGCTCTCCTCCACACTACATTCTCTGACAGCTCTCCTCCACACTACATTCTCTGACAGCTCTCCTCCACACTACATTCTCTGACAGCTCTCCTCCACACTACATTCTCTGACAGCTCTCCTCCACACTACATTCTCTGACAGCTCTCCTCCACACTACATTCTCTGACAGCTCTCCTCCACACTACATTCTCTGACAGCTCTCCTCCACACTACATTCTCTGACAGCTCTCCTCCACACTACATTCTCTGACAGCTCTCCTCCACACTACATTCTCTGACAGCTCTCCTCCACACTACATTCTCTGACAGCTCTCCTCCACACTACATTCTCTGACAGCTCTCCTCCACACTACATTCTCTGACAGCTCTCCTCCACACTACATTCTCTGACAGCTCTCCTCCACACTACATTCTCTGACAGCTCTCCTCCACACTACATTCTCTGACAGCTCTCCTCCACACTACATTCTCTGACAGCTCTCCTCCACACTACATTCTCTGACAGCTCTCCTCCACACTACATTCTCTGACAGCTCTCCTCCACACTACATTCTCTGACAGCTCTCCTCCACACTACATTCTCTGACAGCTCTCCTCCACACTACATTCTCTGACAGCTCTCCTCCACACTACATTCTCTGACAGCTCTCCTCCACACTACATTCTCTGACAGCTCTCCTCCACACTACATTCTCTGACAGCTCTCCTCCACACTACATTCTCTGACAGCTCTCCTCCACACTACATTCTCTGACAGCTCTCCTCCACACTACATTCTCTGACAGCTCTCCTCCACACTACATTCTCTGACAGCTCTCCTCCACACTACATTCTCTGACAGCTCTCCTCCACACTACATTCTCTGACAGCTCTCCTCCACACTACATTCTCTGACAGCTCTCCTCCACACTACATTCTCTGACAGCTCTCCTCCACACTACATTCTCTGACAGCTCTCCTCCACACTACATTCTCTGACAGCTCTCCTCCACACTACATTCTCTGACAGCTCTCCTCCACACTACATTCTCTGACAGCTCTCCTCCACACTACATTCTCTGACAGCTCTCCTCCACACTACATTCTCTGACAGCTCTCCTCCACACTACATTCTCTGACAGCTCTCCTCCACACTACATTCTCTGACAGCTCTCCTCCACACTACATTCTCTGACAGCTCTCCTCCACACTACATTCTCTGACAGCTCTCCTCCACACTACATTCTCTGACAGCTCTCCTCCACACTACATTCTCTGACAGCTCTCCTCCACACTACATTCTCTGACAGCTCTCCTCCACACTACATTCTCTGACAGCTCTCCTCCACACTACATTCTCTGACAGCTCTCCTCCACACTACATTCTCTGACAGCTCTCCTCCACACTACATTCTCTGACAGCTCTCCTCCACACTACATTCTCTGACAGCTCTCCTCCACACTACATTCTCTGACAGCTCTCCTCCACACTACATTCTCTGACAGCTCTCCTCCACACTACATTCTCTGACAGCTCTCCTCCACACTACATTCTCTGACAGCTCTCCTCCACACTACATTCTCTGACAGCTCTCCTCCACACTACATTCTCTGACAGCTCTCCTCCACACTACATTCTCTGACAGCTCTCCTCCACACTACATTCTCTGACAGCTCTCCTCCACACTACATTCTCTGACAGCTCTCCTCCACACTACATTCTCTGACAGCTCTCCTCCACACTACATTCTCTGACAGCTCTCCTCCACACTACATTCTCTGACAGCTCTCCTCCACACTACATTCTCTGACAGCTCTCCTCCACACTACATTCTCTGACAGCTCTCCTCCACACTACATTCTCTGACAGCTCTCCTCCACACTACATTCTCTGACAGCTCTCCTCCACACTACATTCTCTGACAGCTCTCCTCCACACTACATTCTCTGACAGCTCTCCTCCACACTACATTCTCTGACAGCTCTCCCCCCAACCATCCACACTAAATTCTCTGACAGCTCTCCTCCACCACCCACACTGCATTCTCTACCAGCTCTCCTCCACCATCCACACTACATTCTCCGACAGCTCTCCTCCACCATCCACACTACATTCTCTGAACATGAATAAGGAGGCTCACCCATGTGACTTCATTGGTGGTTAACAAGTTCTCCTTTATGAATGCATGATTTCCCGCACTCTGAACATGAATAACGACGTTCACCCGTGTGAATCCTCTGGTGGTTAACAAGCTGTCCTTTCCGACTGAAAGATTTCCCGCACTCTGAACATGAATATGGATCTTCACCCGTGTGAATTCTCTGGTGTATAACAAGGTCTGTTTTACGAAAGAATGATTTCTCACACTCTAAACATGGATAAGGACGCTCACCTGTGTGAATTATCTGGTGTATAACAAAGACTCCTTTCCGACTGAAAGATTTCCCGCACTCTAAACATGAATAACGACGCTCACCCGTGTGAATTTTCTGATGTTTAACAAAGTCTTCTTTCCGAGTGAATGATTTTCCGCACTCTGAACATGAAAAAGGACGCTCACCAGTGTGAATTCTCTGGTGTATAACAAGGTGTCTTTTCTCGGTGAAAGATTTCCCGCACTCTGAACATGAATAAGGACGTTCACCTGTGTGAATTCTCTGGTGTTTAATAAAGTCTCCCTTACACATAAATGATTTCCCGCACTCTAAACATGAAAAAGGACGTTCACCTGTGTGAATTCTCTGGTGTACATCAAGATGTCCTTTCCCTGTGAAAGATTTCCCGCACTCTGAACATGAATAAGGACGCTTACCCGTGTGAATCATTTGGTGATTAACAAGGTATACTTTCCGACTGAAAGATTTCCCGCACTCTGAACATGAATAAGGACGTTCACCCGTGTGAATTCTCTGGTGATTAACAAGGTGTCCTTTCCAACTGAAAGATTTCCCGCACTCTGAACATGAATACGGACGTTCACCCGTGTGAATTCTCTGGTGTTTAACAAGGTCTCCTTTCCGAGCAAATGATTTCCCGCACTCTGAACATGAATAAGGACGCTCACCCGTGTGAATTCTCTGGTGTATAACAAGTTTATGTTTCTCAGTGAAAGATTTCCCGCACTCTGAACATGAATGGGGACGGTCACCTGTGTGAATTCTCTGGTGTCTAAGAAGTTTTTTGTTTGTAGTGAAAGATTTCCCACATACTAAACATGAAAAAAGATTTTCACCTCTGTGTTCTCCTTCATGGGGTGAGGAATATTCCTTGGGATTAGATGGATCTCTTGCAGTGTGAGATCTTAGATGGATATTTCCAGTCATAGTATGTGAATGATCAGAAGATTCACCCTGATCAGAGGGATCCATTGATGTCTCCGAGCAGTGAGGTCTGTGATGTATATTTTGTGTATTTGGATTCACTCCTGGAGAATCCTGTGTGATGACATTATCTTCTGACTTACAATCAGCAGATAATATAAGATGTCTCTCCGAGGTATTCCTGACATCACATCCATCTGCTGGAGAGAAATGATTACACACGTCAGTAATCAGAGTCATGTATGTTTATCTGACAGTCAACAGTTTTGTAGAGACGTGTCATGATATTTGGTAGAACTGTAGCACAAAATATAAAATGAGTTAAAGGAGAACTATGGGGTTAGGGCTTTTCATCATACTTCTCCTTAGGGTAACTAGTGTCCTCCCGTCACCCTAAGCTCAGTATACCGCGAGCTGTAGCTCGCGGTATACTGAGACGCCGCAGCTGAAGCGGATCCCGACAATTGTGCCGGGATCCGCCCAGCTGCGTGACTGACAGCTGGCTCTGCCTATCTAGAGGCAGAGCCAGCTGTGCCCGCCCCCTCCCCCGTCCGTTCCGCCAGTCAGCGCTGGAGGATCGGAGGGGGGAATCCAGCCCATCCCCTGTCACGGCAGAGAGCCGTGACAGGAACGGGAAGTGAGCGAACGCCAGTATGTGTTTGCTCACTTCCCGATCTACTGAGCCGACCTGTGACAGTCTCATTGTCACAGGTCGGCTAGAACTATGAGGATGAGTGAAAAGCACTCGCCTCACAGTTCTCCTTTTAAAGGGTAAAAACAACCAAAACAACTCTGACACATCGGGAACAATTGTTTTGTGCATTAAAGGTAATCTTTTTAGCCCATGGTCTTCCTCAGGGTACGGGAGGACATATACTGTGTGACCCAAAACTTAGCAATAGCCCGCTATATGTTGAATGCACCGCAGTCGGGACAGATCCCGACAATATTGTCGGGATCCACCCCGCTGGCTGATGGACAGCTGACTCTTTCTCTCTAGAGGCAAAGCCAGCTGTGCCCGCCCACTCCCCCGTCTGTTCCTCCAATCAGCACTGGAGGATTGGAGAGGGGAGCAACCAAGTGGGGAGTGGTGACTGACAGTCACCGCTCTCTGCAGGGAGCGGATCAGAAAGTGAGCGGCGGTATGTTTCTGCTCACTTCCTGAAAAATAGACCCGACCTGTGACAGTTTCAATGGTAAGATAAAATGTTGAGATATGGGGATGGACCTTTCATATGGTGTACAGTATCTCCTCCTCATTTGTTGGGGACATGACGTTATATTGGGGAATGGAGATGGACCTTTCATATGGTGTACAGTATCTCCTCCTCATTTGTTGGTCACATGACGTTATATTGAGGAATGGAGATGGACCTTCATATGGTGTACAGTATCTTCCCCCTCATTTGTTGGTCACATGACGTTATATTGAGGAATAGAGATGGACCTTCATATGGTGTACAGTATCTCCTCCTCATTTGTTGGTCACATGACGTTATATTGAGGAATAGAGATGGACCTTCATATGGTGTACAGTGTCTCCTCCTCATTTGTTGGGGACATGACGTTATATTGAGGAATGGAGATGGACCTTCATATGGTGTACAGTATCTTCCCCCTCATTTGTTGGTCACATGACGTTATATTGAGGAATGGAGATGGACCTTCATATGGTGTACAGTATCTCCTCCTCATTTGTTGGTCACATGACGTTATATTGAGGAATAGAGATGGATAGAGCTGCAACAATTAATCGACTAAGTCAATTATAATCGATGATGGAAACGTTGCCAACGTTTTCCCATCATCGATTAGTTGAAGTTCGATTGATTGGCGGCTCACGTCTTTGTCTTCCCACGGTGCGACACGACTCCTCCCCGCCGCACGACACCACTCCTCCCCGCTATACGGACTCGCAGCACTCTGCTTCTCCTCCCTGCACGCCGCATCTCCCCGCCTTACAGACTCGCTGCTGCCCGCCCATCACGATCGGCACAATTAAGGAAGAGCAGGCATGGGGGAAAGGCAGCTGCCAGAAAGGCTGTATGTATAACTTACTTTTGCTGCCATTTGTTGTATTCCTCTATAGCTGCTGGTATTCTGCATTGCGCCGCTGTATAATGTACTATATTGCACACCACACTTTTTTTTACTTCCACCGCTCCAAACTTGCTCCCGTGATGCACTACAATCTCAATGCAAACTAGTAGTCCATCACTGGAGCCTTTTTTTTTGTATCCGATTAATCGAACTTAATAAGCGGCTAACTAATCGATTTTGAAAATAATCATTAGCTGCAGCTCTAGAGATGGACCTTTCATATGGTGTACAGTATCTCCTACTCATGTGTTGAGGACATGACGTCATATTGAGGAATGGTGGTGACAACCAATGTAAGGGAGCACGTCCCCTTCATCCTACAATAGGGCAGATGACTTCTTCTGGGGAATCTTCTTCCCAACTTTGATGGTCCACCATTTATAATTCATCTCTCATCTTGTCTGATGATATGAAGATCTGATAATTCTCCAACATGATCCCTTAAATGTCACACCTTCTACTCAGAAGTGACATAGAGCTGTGACCTGTTCCCTCCATAGTGTCTGTTACTTACTTGTGTTGATTGGTAGAGAAATGTCATCCTGATCACTTTTCATCATCATCCCGACCTCCTCCGTGGACGGCCGGTCACCCCCCACATACGTCTCCACTTCTTCCTCTTTAATCTCCACGTTTATATTGTTCCGTTCTTCACCCTAAACCCCCAAATAATAGAAAATGCAGTGTAAGTACCTGAATGTGACTTGGCATCAGGTTTTTGCAGCCCCTGTACAGCAAAGCTTGGACTAGCAAAGGGAGAAGCAGCGCAAGGAGCCCATCAACTGAGCTGCAGGGCTAATAAAGGTCATGCTGACTGAGAGAGGAGTTACAGAGAGATGGTTTCATCAGTCTTCTGCTTCTTTTATTACTGTCCAATCACAGACTGAGGGGGAGACAAGACTGGGAGGTGTTACTGATCTGCTGCAGACGAATATCACGCGTCCTGTTCTGCCCATTTCAGGGACGGTCTCCTACCCATTTCCTGGGAGCCCAGGGGCCAGTGATCCTCACCTTGGGGGGGGGGCATTATTAAACCGGCCTGGACTACCAGAACCAAAGACCAGCACCACATCATTCAGCAAGTGCCCTTTGGAGGAACACAAGGAAGAAGAGACTCCATGATGTCTTGTGACTGGACCCAAGACCCATGGAAGAAATTTAAATGTATTGATTGTTAGAAAAAACAATAAAAGTGGGGGGAGCTCCAAGGGGAAGCTGACATGGAGGGGGAGGGAGGCCGCATTTCAGATGTAAAGTTAATGTTAAACCAAGAGACCACATAGACCAAAGTTCACAATGACTTCTGTGTTCTATACACCGAGTGCCACCTACCTGATCATGGTGGGGGGTGGTGAGATCTTCCTGTGTGGAATCCCGAGAATACAGAGGACGAGGACATCTCTCTGGTGGGTTTGTGCCATTGAATTGCCCCATTATGACGTTCTTGAAGGGGTCCTTATGCGCTTTTGAGAACTCCTCCATCACACCGTCCTCATTATCCTCCTCTTTAATCTCTTCTTTAACATCATAATCACAATCACTCTGGTTTATACTCTGAATATTGAGAACAATCATTTCAAATGTAACTACATAGATAATGATCAGGTCAAAATGGTTCAAAATGGCTCAAGGTGGAAGCTGTAATGGAGAGGGTGGAATGGGTGGGAAGCTGCATTTCAGATGTATATGTTAAACCAACAGACTACATGGAAGAATGTTGCCCCCCAACAGTTCACAATGACTTCTGTGTTCCATATAACGGGTTCCACCTACCTGATCATGGTGAGGGATGTTCTGATGTTTTTGTGTACAATCCCGGGAATCCAGGCGACGAGGACATCTCTCTGGTGGGTTTGTGTCACGGAATGTCTCCATCATGATGTCATTGAAGGGGTCTTTGTGTCCTTCTGAAAACTCCTCCATTACACTATCCTCCTCCTCCTCCTCTTTTATCTCTTCTTTAAAATCATTATGACACTCACTCTGGTTTATACCCTGAATATTGAGAATGAGAATAACTACATAGATAATGTTCAGGTCATAATGTAACTATCGGCTATTAATAATTATTTCTCTATTTAACCTTATGTGAGTAGTTGTGATCTTCCTGTGTGGGATCCCGGGAATACAGAGGACGGGGACATCTCTCTGGTGGGTTCCTCTTACTGGATCCATCTGTAGGAAACACACACATTGACTGAATACATTGTTTCTATGCGTGTATCAGATGATGGGGGATCTAGGTGGACCCTCCGTACTGCTCTCTCCTCTTACCCGGTGATGTGAGGGGCGGCTCATTCTCCATCACCACGTCCTTGTAGAGATCCCGGTGTCCTTCTAGATACTCCCACTCCTCCATGGAGAAATAGACAGAGACATCCTGACACCTTATAGGAACCTGACACACACAATGATACAGTCACCATCCAGACACATCCCTTGTCGCTTCTTTAAGCTAGGCTCAGACACAGTGTGAGCTCTTTGTCTATATTTTGTATGTGAAATGCGTATGTGGGCAATGTGAGTTCTTACAATACCGTATTTGGCTAAGTTATGTTATTGAAGATTCAAACATTCCGGACAAAGGGAATTATTTTAACGTCAAACATTCTACAATACTCGATGGCTAACACGGTACAATACCCTATGACTGCTACAAAATGTATAAAGAATGGAGCAGAGTCTTTTTTTACAACAATCATTGTGCTGAAGTTTATACGTGTCTGTGAAATTCTCGCTGATGGCTCA